TGCTGAACCCAGCAGAGATCTCCTTAAGTAAACCAAAATGAAACTAAATCTGGCATTGAGCCTTTCTGTGCTCATTTAAATGTGTGTGTATACACACACGCCTGTATATCTTTCTCCCTTTTTATTCACACATGCACATTCTTCCTTTCTTCCTCCTTTTCACTCCTAAAAAAAAAAAAAAAGAACCAACAAAGGAGAGTAGTCAGCAAAAAGGAGAAGCTGTATCTATACTGAGGCAATGCCATCAGTGTTTCAGACCTGGATGTCTCTTAAAGAAGGTGCAGTGGCTGTAGTTCCCCCTCTGCTTCAGTTACAGGGTTGTACCAGTGGGGACCCAGGGACAGCTTAGCCTTTCCAGAGGGACAGCTCCACACAGGGGTGGTGACAGTGGTGTCCTGATGCTTTCTGTTGGGGAATTGGGCAGGGCTTGGAAGCTGCTGCTTCTCAGGACATCTCTCAGGCTTTGCCTTGTATCTCCCTGGTTGCAAACCTCTGGAACTCACAGACATGGGAGTGGAGGCTGGCAGCAATGGCCCTCACTACAGAAGAGCAGGACTTCACAGGAGGGCTGAGCTTAGTTTTGCTGCTTCTCTACTATATTGAATTTCTTTCCGCTAACCCATTTCTCCTTCTTTCATGAGGCCTGGTGACGGAATCTGTAGCACAAGGCTGCAGTCTTCTCCTCTCTCTTTCCATGGGGTCCTGCAGCCAGCGTCACACCATGGCTCCTTGGCTGCAGAGTTCTCCTAGCAGTGAGATGCAAGGGAAGGTAGAGGCCAGGCATGGCTGATGGCCTCAACTGCCCACCATCAGCTGAAAATAAGTGTAAAATACGTTGCACACGACACAAATAACACTTTTTATTGTGTTGACTCTTACAGAACCCAAACAGAAGGGTTTTTTCAAATGAGTGTGCAGTAATGTGGTTTGAGAGATTCCGTTTATCGTTGCTATAGTACTGGGTTGCATGCTTAATGAAATGTCTGCACTTTTGTAGTGAAAGCCTACTTCAGAGCTATTCTGCATAGTCTGTCAGTGAATTTGATCACTTACTCAATCTGAATGAGTTCCTTAACCCATAATGACAATTTATACATGGCCCTGCCAAGTAGCAGGGTCTCTACCTCCCTTCTGATATCCTGTCATGTGACTTTCATTGTATAAAATGAAAGTGGACAGTTACAGCAGGTTCCAGTGAATGAAGTCCTGGAGGACACTGGATGTTAAAGAGACACCTGAGTAAGCAGGAGTGTTTATTTAGCTTCCTACAGATTTCTGTGCCATGGTGCTGGACAACTGTGTTAAAAATAATGCAGTTTGCGCTTAGTTGCCTTCCCCCTCATCCAAAAGGAGTAAAATCTATTAGAGTAGGAGCCTGGCATGTGAGGCACCAGGGTGTTGTCCTCTGCTCTGCTGTCAATTGATGGTATGAACAAGGTCGCATGAAGCAGTTCAGTGCTTCTTGCAGTAATACAACTCTGTGTGGGAGACTTTATTGAGATTTGTGGTTGCCAGCGTCTTCTGCAGAGGCTGGTGTGGGGCACAGACACAGGGCTGTAGGTAATGTTGTATATAGTACAACTGTGGTTGAAAGTGGGGATGATGGTTTGCAACTGTTCGTTGTGTAAGAGAACCATTGGGAACAGTATCTTTTACTCTGCTGGTTCAAGGCACTTTTCATTTCAGTCTATTTACCTTTTGTCTTTAATTTTCTTGGTGTCTTTCTTCCCTTTTCCTGGGTATAATGTTTTCACATACAGATGTCTCCTCGCTCTGCCTGGCGACGTTGGTCCATACAAGCAATTAACGACTTCCCGGTACTGTGCGCTGTGCTAATACTGTCCTTGATATAACCCTGTCTTCTGCCCAAGGGCCCAAGAATAAAATGCCACCTGTCTGCCTTTGAGTAACCTGCACAGAGGTGGGGGACTTTCACTCCACACAGGGCCAAGGGGCTTCAGTAAGAGTGTCTAAGTGGGCAGGAGCAGACAGTAGTTTGCCAGGTACAAATACTGACCTACAACACACTTATTTTACCTGGCCTAGCAGTCAGGAAAGGATGCCAAGGGATAGTTTGAAATGTAAGAAAACGTCAACCTCTAAGAAACAGAGGTGCAGAGGAGCTAAATGATTATTATGCCTGATCATCCAACTGATGAGACTGACATTAGAGCACCTCATTTCTGAAAAAGATGAAGCCTTGCTGGAGAGGGAGGAACACTTAAGAGCTGTGGAAGAAACAAACTGGTTGAGTTGCTGACAAGAATTTGCTATAAAACGAACTGCCTGTTCTCAGTGCAGTGAACCATAAAGCCTTATTTCCCACAGCAATAAATAGAATTTCTCCTTAATTTGTGATCTTCTCCCAGCCCCAGGAATGGCACCACCCTGCATTCAGTGTGAGGGGTTGCATTTCCAGCGACTTCCTCTTCCTGGCACCTGCCCCTGTGAAGCTGCTTTGGCAGTTGTTTTCCATTAGTCAGGTCCATGTGTCTCTCCAGCTTGAACATCATTCATGTGAACATCTTGATGATATCAGCATTGCTCAAGCTGTGCTGTAAATTTGGGTAATTACTATCTCATCACTCATCTGCCAAGCATAGGCAAAGCTTAGAAAACTCCATTTCAATTCAAAGATGATCTCTTTAGGACTGCTTTTCTCAATGTTTGTGTGAAACTTTTTTTCACAGCTGCTGTCCCTCATGCTATCCCTTCATAAGACAACAGGGAATAAAATAGAATCCTGTAACACCTAATTTAACCTGGTATAATAGCATCAAGCCTTCCTAATTACAACAGCTCTGAGACTATACTAGCAAATAATAGGTGAAAGAAACCAGAAGTAATTTACTTGACTCCATCAAGGCTTTTTGCAAAGAGCTAATAAAGAAATGTGAGCAGTGAAGGCAAGAAATTAAGTTCTGTCTTGAATCAGGAACAGGCTGAAAGAAAGAAAACCAAGCAAGGGAGTTGCCAGCTTGTGGTGTGGTAAATTGTGGCATGCAAAGGGCCACAGTTTAATTCCCTCACCACTGGCTTGGAAGGAAGAACAAGTAGTGATATGATAGTTATAATTTTGTGTAGCATATACTTAAAAATGATAGATGGATTAATCCAAGCCTTGAAGGATTGACTGTAATTGTGGATAACCTTTGGAAGAGGCTAATCACGTTCTTGAAAGTGGGCCATAGTGCCCAAGGTGAAGGGGCAAGCATGCACGAAGAGAGGTGTGGAGTATTTGTGCAGACCAGGTGCCCCCCTTTCGGGGTAAGAGCTCAGCATTGCTAAGGGAAGCAAGACCTTAGCAAGTCTAGAAGAAGGAGTAATTCCCCCTTCTTGCTAGGTAATGACTCCACTTAAGAAATGCCCAGTGCTTCAGGGCAGGTGCCAGCTATTAATTAA